TAAGATAAATCATTGATTTTATTTAATTTCTTATCTTCTGCTTTTTTCAAATTTTATTAAATACATATTAAAAAATTTTCATAAACAAACATTTCAAATGTTACAAAGTATAAAATAAAAATATATCAATACAATTTAATGTGATAATGACTCCAATAAATTATTATAGATTTATATATATATATTTTTTTAATAAATTGTAGATAGAAATGTCTATATTTTATAATTATAAATTTAAATATAAATTGTTAAAAATTATTTATTGATAAAATAAATAAAAAATGAATTAATTTCCATATGTATTATTTTGATAATATAATTACTGGACAAAATAGAGTAAAATGACAAATTTTTTTAATCGAATTTTTGAAAAAAAAATTTCTAATATAAAAAAAAAATGGTTAAAATAGTAAATTTATTATTATTTATTGTAACACTTTCATTTTTTCCATATCTGATTAATGCACAATGTTGTAAACCATATTTAGTGTCGTTTAAAACGATAAACGAAGATTGTGAATTCTTTGGTGCATATAATGATTTTTATCAAAGTAATATTGGTCTTCGAAGTGATAATTCAAAACAATGTGTAATTCGCCTATGTGGCAATGGTGAATTAATATCAGAAAGAAATTATTGCGGCAAAGGATTTTGCAATACATTTGGTTGTAATTGTAATGAAGGTTGTATAAAAGGAAATGCTGTTACAAATTTTCAAACTTTACATGAAAATGACGTATATAATGTGATGATTCATTAATAGAAAATTAATTCATCTTCTGAAAAATCAACGAAACTTTATACTTTACTCAACTATATAATATATGTGTATTAATAAAATCTAATACTTAGAATTTATATATTTCAATAAAAAAAAAATACGAAACAAATTTTCTTATTTAATTTTTTATCTAAATTTTTTAAAAATAACTATAATTATTTCTACTAATCATTTAATTAAAAATCTTTGACTGTTTTTGTCAGTTATTTTTTTAATTAATATTGATAAATTTAAAATAATTATTATAATAGTAATAATAGTAATAATAATAATAATAAAATAATATTAATAGATTCATATAATAAGAATTGAATATTGAAAATTAATTGCAGGTAAAAAAAATCATATATGAGAATAATAATCATAAAACTAATTATGTATAAAAATAATTACTGTTCGCACCCGAGAGGCTACTTCCTCATTCAATATGGTTGATCACTAATAGAGGTGTTTCCTATCAGCATCCTCTCAGGATCGAACAAGTGCCATAAACATGATGCGTATATCAGATTGCTTTAGTTAATCATAATATAAAAGAGAGACCATAATCTCTCACATTATTTTCAACATATAGACAATTTAAATTTCTTATACATGTAATTAGTTATAATGTTATCTCACTTAATTTTTTTTTCATTTATCTAATTAATATTTTAATAATACATTACATAGCAAAAAAAAAAATTAATCAAAATCAATTTTTAAAACTAAAAATTTTCTGAATAATACATTTTTTTTAAATTTCTATTTTGTGTCTATTTTTTATAATAAAAAATTTTTTGTCTTTTTTTTCTGATTTACAATCATATTCTGCGGGCACTTTGAAAATTTGATACTCCGAGGAAATATATATAGATATAATTAATATTTTGAGTAGTACCAACAAAAGGTACTAAAATTACGAGATAGAGTTTCGAGAGGGACTATAGTGTGGTAAAGGACAAACCCCAATCAATGGTTTCACTATACACTCAAAGGCATAGAATACAAGAACAAATAGCCGAATACTTCTCATGAAGTTACATTGGAACCCACTGATGTACAAAGAGGAGGCTTTCCTACCATTACTATATACATACATAAATAAACTTGTCAATGTTACTCTATACTAATCACTTTTTGACCATGTTCATTTTCAATTGATTTTATCACCGTTTAATTAAAGTAATTAGGAAAAAAATTCTACAAATCTTGCTTAAAATTTATCAACAAAAAAATTCGACAAAAATTTATTAATAACAAAATTAAAATAATAAAAAAATTTTTATTTTAAAAATTTAAAAAAAAAATTTTTTTTATTAAAAAAATTAATTTTTTGTCAACATGGAAAAATTTCCACTTTTGACTTAATAACAAGATAACATTTTCAAATAATATATTTTCTTATTAAATTAATTTAAACTTCAAATTTAAATAATAAAAACCAATTTTGTAACTCATTTATGAAATGTGTGTTTTTTTTTTTAATAATTCAAACAATTTATCGAATTGAAAAAAATCCATCCTTTTACATATAAAAAATATAGATTCTTATCATACATTTTTAATTTGAAAGATGTTTAATTTTAAATCGCTTTATAAATTTTTCTTTGCAAATAAATTAACTAAAAATTAAAATCGTAAAATTAAATTAAAGATACATCCAATATATATTAAAAATAACATATGTTATTATAATTATATATTAAATAACATATGTGATTGGAATTAAAAAAAAAACATCATTCTCTTTTTAAATTATTGATAAAAATTATTTTGAGAAAAAATTTACATTATTTTCAAGTATATAAATATTACAAATTTTTTATATGCAGAATTTCAAGTCTAAAAACGAGAGAAAAATATTTAAAAATTTTGGATAACACACTAAAAATTTAACAACAACAAAAATTAACGAGAAAAATGTTAAAGTTTTTTATATTATTGTTTGTCGTAAAGTTAACATTATTTCCATGTATAATAAATGGAGAATGTTGTGGAAGGCAAAAATTATATTTTCAACGTGTTGACGCGAAATCAAGATGTAATGATTTTGGAGGTTTAATACCAATGAACGAGGTGATATCACTTTATCCATATATAATTCCAGCTTCCTATGAAAGTAGTATTAATTGTGAAATTTCTGTATGTGGAGATGGCAAAAAACCTCAAAATAAAAAAATCTACTGTGGCCAAGGTTCATGCAATATATTTGGCTGTAATTGTGATGGTGGTTGCATTCCAGGAAATGCTCTTAAAAATTTTAAAGCATTATATGAAAATAAAGTGCGCAATGTTAAAATGTAATATATTTTTTTATCGAATATCAGAATATTGTTCGAGAAAAAAATGACAACTATGTAATAATGTTACAAAATTTAATCTCAATGTATATGTAATATAAAAAAAAAATTGAAATAAAATTGTATTTTTTTAAAATGAAAAATTTTTATAATTTCTTTTTGTTTCGACACAATAACAATTTAATATTGCACTCAAATTTTAAAATAATTTCATTTTATTCAAATAAATCAGATATGATTATATATCAGTGTATTAAATTAATTATATCGATAATATTTTATTGTATAGAACAAAATTTACATATTGACAAATGTATTTCAAGTAAATTAAAGATTAATGAGATAAAATAAATACCAATCAAATTAAATTATAAATTAAATTTTATCAATTACATTAAAATAAATCTTCAGACATTTTTTTATTACTTAAAATTAGTAGATATTAAAAAAATTTTAAAAATAACTAAAATGATAATTTCCCTTCTTATTATCATATATGTAAAATAAGATAAGATTGTGATATAAAAAATATATATTAAATGAAAATAAAATAAATTAATTTTTTTTTAAATATAAATTTCCAAGATTTATTTGATGATAATGATTTATTTTATTTAAAAAATGTATTATACAATCAAATTTATTTTATTTGAGAAACTTTATATTTGTATGAAATATATTTTTTTAAATAAAATTTGAGATACAATTCTTTAAATTGAAAAAAAAATTAACTTCATTTAAAGAGAATTTTTTTTTAAATTAAATTTTATTAATAAATAAATAATACTTCTGAGTTGAATAATCGCAGTGATGGAGATTGAAAAAACAGTAAACTTTTTTCTGGTTGTGAAATTGATCATGTTAGACAAAAAGTTTGCCTACTCTAAATAATCCTTGACATGATTATAATATAATTTAAATAACAATAAAAACTATTAACATTTGACGATAGAAATCTGAAAATTTGCAAAATGATAATTTGCCTATTCTACTTTAACACATCTTCAACTACATTTAACATATGTATTGAAATTTTAACCAAAACAGTATTTGATTATCATTAGAAAATATAATCAATTTCGCATTTTAATGTTGAAGATTCGAATATAAATGCCGACTCTCGTAAAAATTATTATACATCAGTAAATTAAATTTCAAACTAACAAAAAAATGTTCAAGTTTAGTTTAGTATTTCTCATCGCTATTTATTCAATAATTCCTCATTTAAATCATGCAATATGTTGCCCTAAGGAGAAGGTGTTGTTTCAAAAAACAAATAAGAATTTGAGTTGTTCACATTTTGGTGGAGTATTAGCAACATCAAATAATGGAGTCTCAACGCCATTAAAATTAAAGGAACACGATTATGCTCGTAAATATGGACATTGTGAAACATTTGTCTGTCAAAATGGCAAACCACCAGGAGAAGGAATTTATTGTGGCAGAGGACCTTGTAATATATTTGGATGCAATTGTGACAATGGTTGTATACCAGGAAATGCTGTTAGATATTTTCAAGCCTTACATGGAAGACATGTGTACAATGTCAGATAGGAATTAATAAAATTTTAAAAATTTTTATGCAATAAGTATTATTTATAAAATTGTTTTCAATAAAATTTAATTCAATAATTTCTGTGGTATATTTTTCTTTTTTCTCTTTCGAATAACCTTTAAAAAAAAACTAAAAAATTAGGAAACGAACAATTATTATCTATTCACTACATTTCAAAATCAGTTGCACTAAATTGTCAAAACCAAATTAATCTGTTTCTATTCAGCACACTTAAAAATCAGTTGGTATTCACTACATTTTCCAAAGCGAAAATTCGTTACTATTCAGTATGCTTGAAAAACAGTTTTTGTTTCTAAACTAAAATTCACGAATGAAAAATTAGTTTCTAAAAATGTTAAAAGAGAAATCTAATCTGTTGCAGGAGGAAGCCTGGATGGGCTGAACAAGTAAGGGCGGACCCGGAGGGACGATGGGAGAGGACTACGACGGAGATGGGGGTTGCGGTTCCGGTGAGGAAGAAACCGGTTCAAATCTTCCAATTTGGGAGGCTGCAGCTGCCGTATTAATTTTGGGCTTTCTAGTGTTAGCGACAGTACTTGGCAATGCCCTCGTGATCTTGAGTGTCTTCACCTATCGGCCATTAAGGATTGTGCAAAATTTCTTCATAGTCTCATTGGCCGTTGCCGATCTTGCTGTGGCAATTTTAGTGATGCCTTTTAACGTCGCCTATTTGCTACTCGGCAAATGGATATTTGGCATTCATCTATGTAAACTGTGGCTCACTTGCGACGTACTCTGTTGTACAGCTAGTATTTTAAATCTTTGCGCAATTGCTCTCGATCGATATTGGGCAATAACAGATCCAATAAATTATGCCCAAAAACGTACATTAAAAAGAGTCTTGGCAACGATAGCTGGTGTTTGGGTATTATCGGGTGCAATTAGTTCACCACCATTGGCCGGTTGGAATGACTGGCCCGAGGAACTTGAACCAGGTACACCATGTCAACTAACAAGGAGGCAGGGTTATGTCATTTATTCAGCACTTGGTTCATTTTTCATACCATTATTGCTCATGAGTCTTCTGTATTTGGAGATATTTTTAGCGACACGAAGACGCCTTCGTGAAAGGGCTAAACAAAGTCGATTGGGCGTTGCACAGTCGGCGAAACATCGTGAAACTGATGACAATGAAGAATCAGTGAGTTCGGAAACGAATCATAATGAAAAATCAACACCAAGATCACAACCGAAACCATCGCTTGTCGATGATGATGTTACTGAAGTGACAGTGGCTGGTGGTACAACGGGACATTCAAGACGTGGTGGTCCTGGTATTGCAACAACATCAACGACTGTTTATCAATTTATTGAAGAACGGCAGAGAATTTCTTTGTCTAAAGAAAGACGAGCCGCAAGGACGCTTGGTGTCATTATGGGTGTGTTTGTCGTTTGTTGGCTTCCCTTTTTCCTCATGTACGTCATTGTACCATTTTGTCCATCTTGTTGTCCTTCCGATAGAGTGGTGTACTTCATCACATGGTTGGGATACGTCAACAGTGCTCTCAATCCGCTCATTTACACCATCTTCAATCTCGATTACAGGAGGGCTTTCAGGAGACTTCTTCATATTGGATAAGGAGTTCGTTAAGAGGTTCAAGCTTCCGGACTTTGTAAATATAGTATATTCATTGTAAGATTTATCACTGCAGTCGCGCGTTAAATAATGGAAAAATTATTGCACCGGAAAAAATACACTTTTGGAGAAATCTTTTTTGAATTAAACCATTTTTAAACTTATAAATAAGATTATGTGGTATGAAAATAAATCAAACAGGTTTTCTCGAAAATATATTTTTCGGTGTGAAAAACAAACATTCTCAGACTCTTTGTCCGTGTCTATATCGATCGGAAAAACGTCTTCTTCTTATAAAAGCCTTGGGGTGAAAAAAAAGTAACAACGAAACGTTTTTGAGCTGAGAATTTTGTATATATAAGAAGGGAGTTTAAATTGTCGGCCAATAAATATTGTTTCCGCAATTGTTTAATAATGCAAAACTAGATTCATTTTTTTTTTTTTTTTGAAAGTGGCGAAAGAGTAAACTCCAAATGAGATATCTTATATACTGATTTCGCGGAAAAAGTAAAAGACCTGCCACTTACAGAAAAACCTCTTTATTTTCGGAATTGAAAGTTTCTTATCGAAATGTACAAGGGATTGGAAACTATGCAGCAGATCTTTCCCGATAGACGTCGGACGTGCAACTTGAGCGAACTGTGGTTTTCAACCGAGGTTCGAATCGTTCGGAAACTTTGGCCCGAGGGAGCATATTCAATAAAGTACCCACGTATATACATGAAAGATGATATCATTGAGAGTTGACTATAGAGAGCTTACTCGAATAGATTCGAATCTGTTATCAAGAAAATTGTTAACGATATATAAATATTAAATAAAAAAATATTCTCCAAGAAAAATATATAAAAAATTTGAAATTTTTCGCGAAATTTTATCAAGTATATAAAGTATCGTATATGCCCCTTAATTATTCGTAAATTGTTCCGATAAAATATGTCTCATTTATCAGCAATAAAGTTTCATGCTATAAACTTTATCAAATGTAAACGCTTGATTAAAGTGTGCAATACTTTATCAAAATACCACTTTATCAAAATGGTCTCTAAGGATTTGTTATAAAGTTTAGGAAAGTTATTCTATATCTCTATAAATTTTCCCTCGATTAGAGAAGATAATCGTGAATTTCAAATAGAGAACGAAAATTAGTAAAGAGAATTTTTTTAAAAATTCAAAATATGAAATTTATATTTTTCTTGGGAATTTTAAAAGAGTGCGACAAAAATATATTAGCCAAAGAGCAACCTTTTTCAATCTCTTTGAACATCATCTTTCTCTCGCTCATTCTCTCTCTCTCTTTCTCTCTCCTCTCTCGTCATTTTGATGTCAAAATCAATGAAAATAGAAGCTATCGCTGCAAATCCGCCTAACCTACTTTCGATACTAAGAACGATCAAGAGAGACGAAGTGCGCACCCAAGTGGATGAGCTTCAAGTCGGTTTATGTGGTGGTTAGACATAAAAAAATATATATATTTAAACCCGCAAGAACTCGTTTAATGTTATAGAAAAGGTGTAAAAATTGACGTTATATATATGTATACAAAAGAAAGAAGAGTGTAAAACGATCTGCTTCACGAAATGAATTAAGTAAAAAGAAAAATAAGTATGCGGAACATTTTTAAATAAAAGTCTAGTGGAGTAGAAAGAATCGAGTGTGAATTTATCTCTTTCACGATTTCTCTATATATAATAAAAAGAAGGAGAGAGAGAGAGTTATACTCACTCTTAAACTTCAATCAGTAAATTTTACTCTCAAACCATATACAATGTCAAATAAAATTACAAATCGCTTCAAATGGAGTTCAATATTTTTTAAAAATAAAATTTATCTAAAAGATATAAAAATATATTTTGAAGAAAAGAAAAAAAATTCTTTAAAATTTATTGAAACTATAAATTGTAAAGACACTTACAATAATAATGCAAAAAAATTTTTGAAACCAGTATATTCAAACGATATACTTTTGTATATTAAACTTTTAAAACGATATTTGATCCAAAAAGGAAAGAAAAATTTTACTAACATTTTAGAAAAATAATTTTCGCATTATATCGAATGTGAAAAATTTTTCACACTCGATAAATGCTATTGAATTTTACCCTAAACGATTTTGTAATTTTTCATGTTATTAAATTTTATTATACTCTCTTGTAATTTTTCACAACGGTAAAGTAAATTTTACTATATGCTTTGGTAAAGCAAACTTTACTACCATTTTATCGAATTTTAAAAATTATTTCATAGTAAATTTTACTAAATCGTTTTGGTAAAATTTACTCCAACTTCTTATTGAAAAAAATAATGAAAATAAAATTTATTATAACTAATTGCCGAAAAATTTGTCTAAAAGAAAAATAAACTTAATTTTATTTTACAATTCTTTCATTCCTATAGGTTTTACTGCTTTTTTACAACACGAGTTAAATTGAAAAAAAAAACTTTGCTCACATAAACTGTGAAAGAAATTACATAAGTGGACGTCAATTTGCATAACTATGAATAAAGTAACAAGTTTTTAAGTTTGTACATTTATTACTCAAGTTCACGTAACAGTAAAGCCTCGTTAAAAAAAAAGAATGATAATCTATAGATTTTACTGTAAAAATAATTTCCTGGTTTCAAAATCTAGATGGAAAAATTAACTTATAAAAACACAAAAAAAACCTGAGCGCCACGTTCTTTGTCGTTTGGTTCATTTTGAACTGCAACAAAAATTGAGTCCAGGTTTTTTTTTGTGAACCAAAAAGAAAAAAAATATGTGTGACATAAAATAAAAAAAACATCAATCCTCCACGATTTTAGTACCCATTCGGTTGCATACATTGTAAATGTGAAAGAAAAACGAGAAATTATTTAACGAATGTTGAGAAAAATTCTACTCCACTGGGATTTTTTATATATAAAGAAACGTGTGGGAAATTTTTTTTTTTTTTTTTTTTGAACAGCACACAATGAAAAATGAAAGAAGACGTAAAGTAACAAAGTGTGTTGCCTCACGCTATTGCAAAGAATACATGAATCTCTCAAGTGTGGAGACAAGTCACATTATTAATTCAGATTCGTACATAAAGTTTGATTCCCAACTTGAGGGATAAGGTTGGTAGAGGGGGTGTGTGATGAAGGTGGGTTATAGTCAGTTTGAAAACTTGGATTCTCTATGGTACAGTGCATTGCCTGAGATTTCACCTTCGCAAAACTTTGTTCAAAGTCATGCAGTTGTATCCGGTTAGTGGATCGATGGTAATGCTCTCCCACTGGAAAAGCATGTTACGATTGCTCGACCGCTATGTGTACCTACTTACTGACAAACTTGTGCTTTGGCGAGACTACAACGTTTAACCAACTCCTTGAGGTTGGTTTGGTATAGAGAGAGAAAGATAGAGAGAGATTGGGAAAGAAGGGGAGGAAATAGGGAGGTTTGTTGACGTCACCGTCGTCAACGCAGTCATCCGGAAGCTCGAACCCTCTTAACTCGACGTTTTACTTAATAAGAAGTAAGAAAACAGCGTTTCACGCTTACGAAATAAGACTTTTCTACGAAACTCGACCAAGACTCCAATTAAGCTGTTTAGATGCTAAAATCCGTACCGTAATAGTTGGTACTCGTCGTTGTAACTATCATTCCCCCTAAACTACAAAATTAGGTATATCGCCGTGCACATACATTCTTCTCATAATGGCTAATATATATTCTTCCAAGAGGACAATGAAAACTAATTTTTCGAAAATTTTAAATGAATTTATAATCAAAAAAATTAGAAACTTATTCTACTTACAATTTGGATCGTAAGAATTCATTTACTATCTGTAAGACACACTAAAAAAATATCTGATTAAAATCAAAAATATTTTATTCAAATAATCGGTTACTTAACAATAACAGTAATAATTTTAAATTTTCTAAAATATGCGACGCTCTGCGAGAAAAATACAAATACCTTACAGAACAAAAATTTTAGGTTATTTTTAGTGATAGTTTTACCTTCATAAAAATCTCAAACATAACCTAAAATATTTTTTGACGTAAAGTCCCTTCTGTTGTGGTTAAGTGGTATTTGTTTTAAATAGAGAAATTTGGTTCAAATACAGTTTAATTAAATTATTTGGTTCAAGTAAATATTTATTTGATAGTCAAGTAACCGATTATTTAAATGAAATAAATTTTTTTTTTCAGTGTAAAACAAACTTTATTTTTATATACTTTTGAACACAATCAAATATGATTTCAGTTATTGAGATACACCAACTTTATATTAATGTATGTATAACTTTCTAATATACATTCACAGAACACAAAATAATGCGATTATGACGACTAAATTATCCTATACTTGTAAATTTGTAGTTTCTCGAACAGCAAATTTAATTAAGGTAACTATTATAATGTAGTTGGTGCTACCAACTTTATATCATTATATAAAATATATATATAATAGTTCTAAACATCTGCACATCTATGACGAGATGAAGCAAAACAAAGGACATAAAATCAAAAGGAAAGTTTTTCAATCTATTATTATAATAGAATTCATTTTTTATACTAAAATTCAAAAATTTTCGTTTCTTTTAAAATCGATAACAAAAAATGAAAACATAATCGATGAAACCACCTTTTTGCATTTTATTATACATATATACATGTACATTTGAAATAAAATGCGTGCCCCAGCTAAAAATGGACTGCACTGAATCAGCAAAATTTTAGGCAACAGCGCTGCATCGATTTATTTTAAAAGCTTTCACACTACCGTGAAAATAGGTATTCATACACGGCATTCAATATCATGTTGATTTTAAATTTCACTCTTTAATCGATATAGTAATGAATTCAAGCGTGAAATTAAAAAAGAGCTTAACTTTCCTATACTCAAGATATTCGCCAATGAAAAAATATTCTTATTTCCCATGTCTTATTTTTCTAAAATTACAGGAATTTTCCACAACAGAAATTGATTTTTATTTTATTTTTTCTTCTAAATTAAAAATCTCTTTCGTTTTTTTTCCACAATGAACACACTTTCTCTTGGAGGTCAATTCAATTTTTTTTTATTTAGAAAATTATAATTATAAAAACCAATAATTTTTTCACTAGACAGATTGTATCAAAAATAGGTCAAATGACGCACATTTAAAACCATAGGTCTAGAAATTGATAATTATAATTATAGAAAATTTAAAATCCGAAAACTCACCATTTTCTAAAATTTTAAATATTAATTCATTTTTTTTCTAATACCTAAAAGTTAATGAAAATGATTTAT